ACAATAATATCAGTGTCATGTTCTTCGGTTACCCAACCACACACATACATACATACTCTCCATATCAACCCCAGTCTGGTATAAGAGTGAGAAGACTAGGAATGTGTGGGAAGCTCTAGCTGACGACTGAATCAAAGTGTACACGACTAATACGTACGCACATGCGTATGTCTCCTTCCACATATCTTACCTGTTGTTTGACCTTAAACTAGCATGTGCACACAGGAACGTGATATTTCTGCACTAGCCCACTTTATCAGTCATACGTTGACTTTCAAGTATCAGTCTGAGCTACAAAGCTTCTCTACTATCCCATGAATATTTAACATTGGTAATACGTTATCTATTATATAATGGAAGGAATGATCTTTATAAACTGTTGCTCTATATTTACTAACTTTTACTGGGTAACATTATTGATTATTGAATCAATTTATTGGAACATGTAACATCCGTAGCGTCACAATGATTCCACTTGTTTGCTCGTCGTAGTGTTGGTTTCTTATAATTGAATGTGGACCCGTTTACATTAGATAAAGAACACGTACAATCTGACTCAGTAAAGCCAAAAGCTTTTATACAATATTCATTTATAGAAATCAATGCTAACCAGTCTTCATCAAATACATTAAAAAGATTCTGTCTAATTTAGGAATAAATTTTTTTACTGAGAATCATATTTCACCCAACTGTTCACAACAGATCTAATAGGGGTTTACGTGAATCAGTATATGGAAAATTGTGAATTAATACAGAATGAGTATTCACATTGACCAATCATATCATCTATATTACGATTTGGAGTTATATCTTCTCTACAACTGGCTATCAACATACGATCAAACATCCAGACCCTGTTATAATCACTTCCGTTTGGTTAGCCGAATTTCAATGTGTCTTTATGTGATTGGTGCATGTGACCTCAAATATGATAGACTGACCTGGACAGGTAGTGAATACAATGGAACATAATTTCTTTCAGACTAACCTTTATGATTCAGTCACTTATATGACGTTTATGAGAGTTCTCACAGTATAAAAGGCCCACATTTAAGAGATTCACCGATTTTGTGAATATTGTTAGTGCTGAAGTATACGAAGTTTGCAACTGATTTTGAGGAAATCATCCGACGCGAAGACAGACAGGGTTGACAAACGAAATCCTACCTTAATATTGGAAAAATAGATGACAATGCGCTACACTTTGACGTTAATGCGTACAGACAATATTAACCACAATAACACTTCTTATTTTTCAATAAACTGAATTATTATTGTGTTACTTTGTGAAGTAAGAAATACCATCTTATTCAGCCTTGATTAATTTCGTCTTCATGTTGACTGTAAATCTAAAGGCTAGACAATAGTTTAACGGTAATTACGAAGTAGAAATCTAATTCGCATGCTAAATACAGGTTTAAGTATTCGGCTCTGAATCTCATTGTCCGCATGAAGACTAACTATATTGCCCATCTAGACAAACTTTAGTGCGTGGAGCAACGTCTGAACTTTCTTTCGAGATCATACTACTAGGTGAATTGGTGCAACGACGGAAGCACAACGCCAAGTACTTGGGGGCTCCCTTGTGGGAGAAATGAGTAAACTACAATCACTTAGTCATAGATGCTTTCAAAGCGTTGTTCACATTTGGTGGAACAATCGAGTGAGCCACGCCGCGGTTACCAGACAAAAATGAAAAACGCGTTGGTGTGACTGGAATGTGTACTGCGTGTGTAAAACAACCGCCTACCTTAGCTGGATTAGAGATAGATGGAAGAAAACCACAGGCAGCCAACCCAAGACATCCCACCAGTCCATGAAGTCAGTGTCCATCGGACTGAACCATTGTGTTAGGTGCGGACTATCTGGTTCGGAGGCATCGGGTGACTATAATGTTTAATGCAAACAGGCTAAATCCATACAACTGTATACTCATTTCGACAGAGCACGCAACTACCAAACGCATTACTTCAGTTCTATTGGTTAACTTCTGCTCAGTTGTGTAATTAGTTTGAATGCTACATATGCGAGTCCTTCTAACATACCAGTGTTTAGTTGCCCGTCTATCTATCTGTTAATTACATTTCATCATTACATTGATGTATAAATATTTGGGACACGCTGATGAGCAATTGAGAATCCGGACAGTTCGGACTCGTTTCAATTCACTGCAGATTAGACCAGTCTAATGCAATGCTGGATTTATTTCATCATAATCCCTATACTATGGTTATTTCAGTCCAGCTGTGTTCGTTAAGTTTTATCATACTTTGATTGTTTATTATTACTGTACTTTTCAGTTAATTCAACTAATTGAATATACATTCAGGGCCATTCATAGTTGAGTTCTTACTTAATCCGTTGTGGTGTTTGAATTAACTAATGATTCTTTTGTACTTGTTGAATGCTCGATTTCGAATTCTAAATACAGTACATTCGTTGTGCCTGTGTCTTCTTAATTCAATTGCGTTAATCCTGGGATTCCTAATTCATACTATAATTAGAATACTATATTGGCGTCGCGAAGGATCTTGCAATGGAAAAGTTAGATATTCATTCAACTTCAGAAGCTTTTGAAGATTACTTTGAAAGGTTCGAAATCTGGGCTATGACCAAGGAAGATGATGAGGATGTTAATATTGTGGCACACTTCCTCACATTCATTGGAAAAGAAGCATACAGCTTATTAAGAACTCTGGCTATGCCGGAAAAACCCATTTCGCTTTCTTATACAGCTCTCAAGGATCTACTGCTAGACTATGCTCAGTATACAAATTTCAAATGTCGTAAAGGAGGAAGATTTCGTAAAATGATTCATGAGGATATAAAAAAGTCCACTACATTACTACGTCATCTCAACCTAGTGCATACTCAAGGTTATGCAGACAATTCATTGAATTTGGATGCCATTCACGAGGATGGGGACAAGTTTGGTCAGTGTTTGTCCTGTTGCAAGTTCCACTCTTCTAATTCATGTAAATTTCATAATTCTAAATGCTTCAAATGTCGTGATATTGGACAAGTTCAGTCAGTTTGTAATGCTAATGTTCATCTTACTGCAATTAATATTAAGTCTTGTAATTCTGATTCTACTGAGTCGAGTATTCATGATGATCATTTATCTTTATCAACGATTTCAAAAGACAGTGCAGAGTCATATGGCAGTTCAGAGTTAAATGAAATCCAGAATTCTTGTGAGACAACATTTCCTAATCAACCGATTTATCAGAATTCTCATGCTATTGTACCAAGTATGACTTTTCCTAATGATTCACATATTTCTAATGAAATTACTTGCAATTCTGAGGAAAATATGTTAAATGAACCTAATCATGATCGAAAACCTGATGTGGTTTGGATAGATGCTGATTTTTCTAACGATCCTACGCTCTGCAACGACAGTCCTGATGAATTTCATGAGAATATTTCAGAAGAATCAAATCCTGATGTCATATCATATATTACCTATCCTCATAATGTATTTGATCTTCGTGAAAAACCTGCCCAATGCGAAGCACGAGTACTAAGTGACCTCGAGTTTTATTATATTTCGGATGATTTCATATCAACTGCTGTTTACTCTTATCACAAAAACAGTTCTAATGTTTACTCTAAACAATGTGAGATATATGTTTTAAATGAAGCCACATTATTCATAACTTGGGAGTATAAAGATCCAACATTATTTCGTGGGGGGGGATAGTGTTGAAAAATCTATGGTTCGAATTCTAGATATTAATGATTTCATTACAAAACCGACATGCTGGTTGTATACAATTCCAGGTGAGTCTGTTCCGATTTCGTTTGTTAATTCCAATACTAATGAGCACTTTCTAGATACTACAAAGTTTTTATCTTATACAATGTCGGACAGACTCAGGATGAACTTAACAAGAAGACGTACAACCGATTACAAACACTTATACTTCTATTTAAGCTGTGGCGGATGTGGTGTTTGAATTAACTAATGATTCTTTTGTACTTGTTGAATGCTCGATTTCGAATTCTAAATACAGTACATTCGTTGTGCCTGTGTCTTCTTAATTCAATTGCGTTAATCCTGGGATTCCTAATTCATACTATAATTAGAATACTATATCCGTCCATTCTCAGTCATCAAGTTGGTGACAATGAATATAACTGTGACAGCTCAGAATCCGTCAAGCGTGGTTGCATCCAACATTTATCTCCTCCTACATCCTCGGCCTCGATATTGTTTCAAGATTGTTATGCTGTTTCAGTCAGCCAAAGAAATTTCACCAATTATCACTCTTGAGTCAATTTTAAATAAATGCTTGCCTTGGTTGAAACTATATCGATTCACTGCAATTTTTTACTTCGTTCACAAAATGAAGAAATAGTTTCACTGATAGTAATTAATCTCCCAATTGAGTGGCCAACATTTTCGTAATTTCTCCTGTTTTGCACTTCAACTTGGGGAATATACCCTTCTGTCTCGTTTGTAGTGTGGAAATTTCGATGTTTTTCTTGAATTATCAGGAAATGTAACAGAAACTCATAAAGGACTCCCTCTGACATCTAGCAGTTGACTGTTGAGTAATATATTAGTGAGAATTCAGTTTACCCTGCAATTAAGCGTTTGCTCTCAGTAATATCTCTCCAGAAGGGTCTCTAAAACGACTGCGTATAGTACCAGACAGCACTTAACATATAGAATGGTTGACCTACTATGCTTATCTACTATCTACTAAAAATCTCTTAATCATATGAACATTACTATGCACACACATAGACTATACATTTCTAGTATTAATTGACGAAATATCTGAAATGGTGAAAAGTCAATGGGAGCTAAGCTTTATCATGACATATGCTATGGAAGTGTATTCAAGGTATACTAAACCTTGTCAGTGTACTCATCAATCAAGTCTCAAGGCTCCCCAGACCAGTACATCCTACTTCATCATCATTGTAAGATCAAAACTGAGGTTTGGACCGAAGAATAGCTGTCTAGGTGAGTTAGATACGCGTCCTCGCCCGGTTGAAGCCAAAAAAAGTAATTTGGTAAAATGACGGTTCTAATATTCATCAAAAATTTAAATGTACATCGTTGCCTAAACAAATATGACCACCCAGCTGTCCAACGGATAATTGTTCAATTAATCAAATTTAAATCACAATAAATAAGGAAGTTGATATAGGATGCGAGAAAATTACCAGTCACAGTAAATAAATGCTATTCTGTCCTGTCCGGATAGAACACGTACAGATCCGTTCAAAATATAATGTTTGGTTGCTTTGTAACACAGAGTGTTTACAATTCTGGAAGAGTGCCTCAATTCACAATCAAAAATGCGCAATTCCAGTCAATACAAGCAACGCAAGCAAAAGGAGGAACAAACCAACATGGCTGCCGTCAAGACTAAGTACCAACAACATAAATGCAGTTCAGGAAGAAACACAGAAACTTAGTGAAGGCGTAAGAAAAATAAAAACTGTAATGATATACAAATACTACCAACTCAAATGGAATCAAAAGACTAACAATGTACAACTAAAGGGATCAAAAGGAACAAACTGCAAGTGTATATATGGAGGGATTTTCACACACAAAATATTCAAAATGAACGTTACAATCATTACCCGTGTTACTCCAGATGAATTAGACATTTTTGATGTAGTGACAGCCACCACTAGTCTTGGTATAATATCACATCTTCGGAGAATTTAGGACCTGTGAGATCCAACGCAAATTTACCAGATAACATGAGAGAAACTTAAAACGAGTTTCACCAGAAATCCAGTACTTGTCTGTTGAACAACTAGACAGCAAAAAGCTAGACATGTACGATTATTTAAGTATATCTGACAATTCAGACCTGAGTGGTTCAACTCAGACTGGTAAATCAAATCTGCTTATTCCAAAAAACGTGAGGAATCCAGCCCACCGAATGCTGGCATTTTATTTGGTGATAACTCTCAGTGTAACTTACTCTGTATCTGTTTTACCCGAACGTTTTCCTTTTCCAATGCACTACTTATGTTATAATGTACAAGATCATGACCAAAAGTATTGAGGATCAGAGAGCTCACAAACGAAAGACAATCAGGGATTTCTATAAAATTTGTCGTACAAATGACATCACAAAAGATGAACTTCCTCTTAACGACTTTCAGCTGTTTTGTGGAAACAGACCTAACACTCCAGATAGTGGGGTTTCGGTTTACTCATACACCGCCCTCAGAGTTCACATGTATCATTTGCCAGTATAAACAAACAGGGTTCTTTATAGTGTGGCATGAAAATTTCTTGGGGCTATTATCTGACAAGTGTTCTTTTTGACCACTTAGACACTCTTCTTACTAAATGCTACAGAAGTAGCTCAAAGTATGTAACTGACTTAAGTGTTATCGTGATTATATATTTGTTTTACTCAGACTTTGAACTTGTTTTGAAGATTTTCGGTTCCATACTGGTTTGGTTCGATGATTAGCGAGTTTATTTGTAGAAACCTAAAACCTGAAGGTTTATGATGGGCTCTGTCATAACTATTGGTAAAATAATGTTTTTTGACTAGTTGTGGTTTGCGAATAAGCTTTAGATAACTGAGTTGGAATTTGATTTTGTTGTTGTTTGATTCGTAAGTTCCTGATGTACCAATCGACTATGTCTGAAGAACAGACCATAACAGTATTTGGAAGCATCTCTGAATAGTCGGTTCCTTCAAGCAATTGGATATGGTTTTGAGATTACTTTCCCTCAAATATTATCGGTGTAAGATTTCAATCTCTCAACTCTTCTTTCTGTGTGAAGTAATTCCGAATTGACAACTGATATCGGACACTTGGTACAAAAATTTGGTTTGTCGGAAAATGTAGCTGAGCACACTCACTGAGGACTAATTGAAGACAACTTTAATCTGGAATACATTTCTTCTAACCATGAATTGAAGGTTAACGTCTCACTGTAATTGAACTACATGTAATAAAGCAAGTACGCCCTCATATCTCTCCTTCCCTTGTTATACAGCCTTACGAAAAATAAGGCAAATATCTCGTTAGGTATCGTGGGTCGGAATTATCTAACAGTACACAGATTCCATAAGCTACACCCAGGGAGTCTCAGTCCACTCATTCCCAGTATATCACACCTCTGTCCGATGAGTTCTTTTCTCCCACCGACCTAAGCTTCTTAGGAGTTCAGGGGCTTTCGAACCCACACAAAACTATCCTCCAACTGGAACCTTACCAGAGAAGAAGGGTTTAATTACCGACCACTGAACTGAAGACTTTTGGCGGATCCAAAACTTTTATTGTACATTAATAATTTACTGTGTTTTTGGATGTAATTTTTTTATTTAACTTTTGAACTTGTTTGTTTATATCATTATTTCGGACATTTTGGTTTGGTATTTTGGTGCTCTCTTTGTCTTCGGTTTGGTATTTGGGAGGTTTGCTCCGGGAACCTACAAATTTGAAGGTTTGTTTTGTATATGTTGTAATAATTGTTGTTAGAACGATATTTGGTCGACTATTTGTGAATTACGAATAAATTTGGTATCTAAATTGGAGCTTGGTTCTGTTGTTAACTTGGGTTCGTAATTTGCAAGTAGATCGATAGTCCGTACTTCAATAACTGGAACGAGCAAAACTTGGACGTAAGAGAGAGGACGTTCATCAATTGAAAATCTGATCGCAACACTACGGATAGACGTTGAACAATCAGATGGATGGAATTCGTCACCATACATCTACTTCTTTGATTATGGGAAAACGTTCGACAGTACGTATATGAGAATATTCTAAAGACACTATTATGTACCTGAAAAGATTGTCAAAATCATCCAGGATTCATACGACGGACTACATTATAAAGACCTGCAGGGAGGGTAGCTCACAAATGCATTCAAGGTATGGACCGGCGTTATAAAATACTGCTTACTCTCCCCCTTCCTCTGTCGTCTGGTGGTTGACTAGATTATGAAGACTTATACGTCTCAAAAGAAGCACGGAGTAAAGTAGACAGCTTGAATGTAACGAGACGATTTAGAATACATAGATGAATCATCCCTTCTGTTCCATACGCAACAACAAATTCAGATGAAGACAACCTCTGCAACAGACGCCACTGTATCAGTAGGCCTCAAGATACGCAAGGGAAAAAGCAACATCCTCAAATACAACACGGCGAACACCAACCCAATCACGCTTCATCGAGAAATTCTGGAAGAAGTGCGAAATCGCTACGTATTTGGACAGTATCATCGATGAACAAGGAAGGTCCGATGAGGGCGTAAAGGCAGGGATTGAAAAAACAATTTCATCATTCCTGCAGTTGAAGAACATATAGAACTCAGAAAAACCATCAACCAGTATCAAAGTCACAATATTCAATGTGAATGTCAACACAGTCCTACTGTACAGAGATGAAACGTGGAGAACTACCACAACCATCATCAAAGAGGCAGAAGCATGTATAATCAAGTGTCTACTCAAGATACTAAATGTCCGTTGACCGAATACCATCAGCAACAACCTAATGTGGGAAAGAACAACCTACTGTGGGAGAGAACAAACTAGGAAACGACGTTGGGAGTGGCTAGGACATTCATTGTGGAAACCATCAAATTGCTTCACGAGGCAAGCACTAACTCGGAATCCTGAAGGGAAACTGAAAATTGGAAGACCAAAGAACACACCTAAACATCTTCCTCTAGAGTACGTCTAAGAGAAGTATCGTGGCCAACTTGTCCCAGTCGTCGACAGATTAATTCAAAAGTTCATCAAATTGTAGTCGCTGAGCACAAAACTTCGAAATTACGCTATGAATTGTAAAAATTTAACATCAGAAAAACCCAAGTAACGTAAAAATTAGAATAATCTCATTCCCTAAGGTACGAATAGGAAAATAAGTTTGACTCAATTGATCTTGCATCATTTGAGGGTTCAGGGACTTCTGAGACAATGAAATTGTAGAATCATGGTCTATTCAGCTATTAGTATTACGCTAATAATAGACCTAATCCTAAGATTGTAGATTCTCATGATATAGCTGCCTAAGCTATACGATCTTATATGGATGTCATATTACTGTCTACACTGACTCATCGTGTCGTAATAATCACCAATATATGATGAAGAACATATTTAGGCGGAAGATAGAACAATGCTTTTATTATGGATAAAAGACTCACAAGAATGGTCACGCTTGCAAGGCTGATCCAAGCCATTCGATGAATCTGAATATATTGAATTCTTTCTTACCGCCTCCTCCGTTGTTGAGGTTTTTCCGCGTTAAGTGTTGAATATCTGTTTTTCCAGTTGTCTCGTGTTCAGCTTTGAAGATTGTGTTGCGAGACTCTAATTTAGGGACGAGCCAATCAGAAGCGTTTGGGCAATTTCAAGGTCATGAGGCCAAGTTCAACACACGATGCTAACATACGATCAGTTGACAGCGAATTTTTGAGAGGAGGTGATTAATGTAAGGTTGCAAGAGATGGGACGGCGAGACACTAATTTAGGGACGAGCCAATCAGAAACGTCTGAGCAATTTCAATTATTAGCCAATCAGAAGATAGTGTAAAGTGAAAATATATTAAAGAAAGTAATGAGTTACAGTGGATATTCTTCTTTTACATGATTTAAAAACTTGTTAAGGTTTGATAAAGGTTCAGAGGTTCTGAATTCATAATGCATATGGTATGGAAACTCGTCCATAGTGTTAGGGTTTAGGGTTAGGGTTGGGGTTAGGTTAGGGTTAGGGTTTAGGGTTAATGTTAGGGTTAAGGTGCTAATATACGATCAGTTTACAACGGATTTTAGAGAAGAGGTGTCTATTGAGAGGCTACAACCCCAACCCTAACCCTATGGACGAGTTTCTATACCATATGCATTATGAATTCAGAACCTCTGAACCTTTATCAAACCTTAAAAAGTTTTTAAATCATGTAAAAGAAGAATATCCACTGTAATTCATTACTTTCTTATAATATATTTTCACTTTACACTAACTATCTTCTGATTGGCTAATAATTGTCGAGGTCATTTAAAATTCGTTCAAAGGTGGTCCCTAAATTAGAGTCTCGCCGACTGTGTGGTTAGGGTCCAATGCCACTACGAACTGACGACTCGTTTGTTATGGTTACCAAACTGTAAATCCTAGGATAATTTAAATAATCTAAACGGAGATTTATATTGCATTCTACTAATCGCGTGATAACCGCCTCTGAGTAAACCAATGCATGCCTGTAAAAAACCTCTAACAGAATGGTGGCTCCTAGAAAGCCTGGTTACCATACAGACAGATTTCAGGAACTAAAGCAACCTCAGTAACAAAGCTAGTCAGCGCAATATGTAAGCGAGGACAATACCATGCGAGGAGGTAGAAGGGTTTGGTGCTGAAATCAGCGTTAACCAAAACATTGAAATGAAGGATTGAGATGAGAACATGTATTTATTACGTTAAAACATGTTAACTATTTACAGTAATGAGAACTCGAAAATCTATAACATAGACAACCCGCCACCACGTTACGATAAAAGACCGAAAATATTTTAATTTATCAGGCACAACATAGCACAAGCAACATAAGAGCAGGATAAATAAGGATATTTAGGTCAATTGAGACATAGAGAACTGCGACAAAACAGAAAGCAGTAGTAAACAACACTACATGACTAACAGAAATTATTGCAACGGATTGGAACTCTTACTCTTTTAGTTTCTAGTCTTCATCATCAGATTGTCTTTATTATACTCTTGTGTCATCGTTAATTACTTCCCAATTGCTTTACCTATAAGTTGTGTCTTGTGCGCTTGTTGAGTCGCTAACTCACTTTTCCTCCTTTAAATGTCCTCATGCACAATACATTTCACGCTTCCTAGTAATCAGAGTACCTTTATTGCAGACACCAGTCACTGCTTGACGAAAACCGAACATATCCCGCCTTGAATAGTAAGCATGATAATTTTCGCCTTGCTCCGTAACCACGAAAACACTCCAACTATCTAAACGCAGAACCTAAGCAATGAACAGTTAGCTAATCTTCCCAAGCAGAGTTGTAGTCACGTTTTAAAGGTTTCGGTCATGGCTCAACTATGCAGGTGTGGCAACCACTACGTAACTGTTTGCTTTTCATATTAAGTATATTATTCTCTTCTAAGTTCAAATATATCCTTCAGCGGCAACTACCTACTTTCATGATAGGACGATTAGCTATAGATAATGTTGTGACTAC